AATTTTGGTGGGAATTCATGGGTCACCACCTGGTAACACTCCGCTCTGCGACCATATGATTTTTGCCGAGTATTTTATTTCCAAATGTTGTTACCTAAACACGAGCACGTCAAATTCCTGCAGGCCGCAAACGAAAAATAGCCAAATAACCGGATTAACGTAATTATTTGAATGGTGTGATCTACTGACCAAGTAGATTCGAATCGAGGGAAGCCAAGTTCCGGTGAAGGAAGTAAAACACAAAGTCCTTGCAAGATGATGCGAAATTTCGGGATGTTATCAATAAGAAGGAGCAGCTGGATGGCCAACTGGTGCTCCAAGGAGCGGGCGTGGGCGTCCGCCATGAGGCTAAATGCACCCGCACCGGCAGCAGGCCACCAAAAGTTCTTAAATTGTCATGTAACCGATAACCTCCAGCAAAGTCGAAGTGTCCACGAGAGCGCCAATGCGGAAAGGGAGCCCGGCAACACCAAAGATAACGCGAGGAAGCCCGAGGACCTGGACCGAGCTTATGAAGTCCTGCGCACCACTCTGCCCAAGTTGTTCGTGGAGCCCCTGGACTATTCCATTTACAGCCCTGGACTTATATTCCATAACAACATCACGGGCAAACACACAGTGGGCCTGTATCACTACGTCAAACAGATTGCCATCCTGCGGACGGTGGGCCACCTAAAGTATGCCTACGTGAAGTTCGAAGTCCTCAAGATCACAAAGCACCAAGACGACTACACGGTGAGGATTAGGTGGCGAGTGCGGGGCATTTCCGGGCTAAAGGTCATGTTCCAATTCTGGAAGTACAAGCTCTGGCAGCTAAAGGAAGTGCTGAAGGATCAGGAGGCCTGGTACGATGGCTACTCCGTCTGTTACCTGGGCGACGATGGTCTGATCATCAAACACGTTGTGGACAAGGTGATGCCAGACGAAAGTCGGGAGGCGGTTGAGAACACTTCTGCGACGGCGCTGCCTCCCGGTTCCTTGGCGGCGACCTCTTCTCAGAAGATCAACTGCCAATGAAGTCGTAGCTAGCTTTAAATGTTACTTATTTATTGTATTACTAAACGTAATAAACGGAAACTGTGAAAATGTTTAGTAACTGCATTGAAGCTTTGTACCATATTCGATTTCAAATCGTCACTGCTTGAACGCATACACCGATCCCTTCTTGATATATTTGTATGGGCGCGAACGGCTCCGCTTGGCAAAGGCACTTATATAGGGCTTTTCCTTGTTGTACTCGACGGTGCTTTGCATGGAGCCCTCTGTTTCGAGGAATATATCAAAGCTGTAGATGGTGCGGAAGAGCTGGGCATAAAGTATGCGCTCGTTGGCCTCCAACTGTTTGGGCTGCAGCGAGTTGGTCCAAAACTCCATCATCTAAAGAAAGTTAGTTATTCAGAAAGTTCAAAGAGACGGATGAATTAGCGCTCACCTTGATGGCTGCATTGTTTTGGGAGGTATGACAGCCGTTCCAGTGCACATTCAGAATCCAAAGAGGCATCTCCAGTGGATAATTACTCGGTATTCTGATAAAACACTCCATTTTAGCGGAGCCCCTGACGATAACAGCGCGGTAAGAGTTGTATGTAATGCCCTTGTCGTCTGATGAAATATTCAACTTGTCTGAAAGTTGCGAATGAAATTCTTCATGTGTTATGGCAGTCCATTGGACAAGGCTGCATGACAGTCCAGCTGGATAAATGTTCTCCTTGAGGGTAAACAAATCAATGTCCTTGTAAGTCAGACCACGAATCTGCTGGCTTAAACGCAGCCAAGAGTTCCAGCGCCTGGTAATCCGATCGATAATCTCCCGGGTGATTTTGTTCAAGTTTAGTTCGTGATTGTACAGCATAGAATTGTTGACGGTTGGAATCGAGCACATGCTTTGCAGCCAACAGAAAGGTTTTCCAAAGTCTTTGGCCTTCAAAAAGCGCACACATTCTTCAGCTGTTAAGTCCGAGTTACGGAGCTGAAAAGTACCATTTTAGATAATTGTGCAACTGAGGAAATCTTAGGTCTTACCTCGTATTGGATTCCAGGAATGGGTATTTCATTGCCCAAGTCGTTGGCGTACAAATGGCGCACTAGGTGGTGGACAAAGTTTGTATCACTGTAAAAAGATGACAAGTTGTAAATGGAATGCATCGCCCGGCTTATTAAAGACTTACCCCTGAGTGTTGGCATTGCTGGAGTAGTTAAGTTGGCCCCAGACAGTGGCACATTTAATCAGCTCAAAATAGCGAATCTGCAATATGAGCTGATTCGCTCCGGCGGCTCCAATCTATAGGTTATTAGCTTGTAAAGGTTTTCAAACAAGTAATGGACGTCTACGTACCGTCATGCAAATGTGCAATGGGTGAGGAGCCAGTGCATCTTCCAAGCCATTCTCCACAGGCTTTTTCGGCGAAGCAGATTCCTTGTCATTCTGTCCGGGGTGCAAAGTGGCGTACTTCTTCTCCTTTAGCAGCTCCTGCATTTGGGCCTCACTCTCGTAGCCAACCACTTCAGCAGTGAAGGATTGGTCCTCGCTGACCCGTTGCAGGGATTGCAGGATAATGAATAAAATGTATAGGGGCTTTGGCAGATACTTGACCACGGCGCTTAACTTCCACTCCACATCGAGGGACAGTTGTAGGGCATCGTGCAGCGGCTTCGTGGCTCCCTGCAAGGTGCGCAGGGCTGGGGCGAAGGAGATGTATCTCTGGGCGTGGCTGAGATTGTCCTGGAGCAGTTCCTGTTTGGAGGTCAGCAGAGCGCTGTACTGCTTGTCGAGATCCTTACGCAAACGAAGCTCGCAGTCCAGGCGATGAAGGTGCTGTTTGTGGCTAGACAATTCCTCCTTATCGTTGGCCATGCTGGGCAGCTTGCTGGCGTACTCCGTCTCCGAGAGGAGCTCTAGATTGGTGTCCCTGCTCTTGAACTTCTGGCAACGCACGATCTCCTTCTTTAGGTGGCTCACTTCGTAGAGCAGATTCTGCAGCTGCAGCCGGCTGAGATCCACCTTGCACTTCTCCAGGTGCAGTTTGTCTCGTCCAGCCTTGATCTTGTGCTTCACCTCGCGGTTGGCGTGCTTCAGCGCCACAAACATCAATGTGGCTGCGGTGCGTGCCTCGTCGGCTGACTGCCCCTGTAAAATACGGAATGAGCGGGGTCTTGAGCTGCTAACAGCACACTTACCTTGGTCTTCGCCTCCATTATTCCCTCGATGGCCTTTTGCAGTTGCTCGAACTGCGTATTTAATATTGTTTCCATTTTATTCGCAATTGTTTATCAGAAGCCGCAAAAATTAATAAAATGGCAGTGTTCCCAGACTGCTTAAACTGAAATTAACTAACCGTAGATTTTAAAACTTTTTTGGTATATTTTCCATGAGTTTCAGCTGCGGTCATACTTACAAGCGGCTTTGTAAATATAATTAAAAAACCAAATAATTCTTTAAATATTTGTTTTAGGCAATAATAAGACTCTTAATTTAATTAACACAATGCTGCGAATGCTCCAGAAACGAACCAGTCTTATAAAACTATTGGTACCCGGTCCCCGGCTTCATCAAACTATTGCGCAAACGGCGATAAAGGTGAACCATCATAGTGATTACATGTATTATAAATAAAATATTATTTATTAATACCCATATATACGGTGTAGGAAATCCCAGTGATAAAACCCATAAGTATTCCAAAGAGCGACAAAATCGTGGGAAGATGGTTCCTGGGAGTCAGCGGCATGGTCTTTGTGGCCGTTGGTTTAGGTGGGTATCTTATCTTTTATTAAAATAGTGGATCCATACTAAAATATATCCTTTTCAGGCGGCGTAACCCGATTGACAGAGTCCGGACTTTCCATGGTGACCTGGAAGCTGACGGGCGAACGGATGCCCAGGACCCAGGAGGAATGGGTGCAGGAGTTTACACTGTATCAGCAGTATCCGGAGTACAAGCTGTGGGTATTCCTCAAGTCCCTACAAACCCAAAAACTAAAGCCTCCTCTACACCCTTAGAAAGAACGTTAACATGACAGTGGAAGAGTTCAAATTCATATTCATGATGGAGTACATGCACAGGATGTGGGGACGTGCCATTGGCGGATTCTTCCTTTTGCCCGCCATTTACTTCTGGAGGAAGGGATACTTCTGTGCGAAGACCAAGAAGAGCGTACTATTGCTAGGCACTCTCATCGGTCTGCAGGGTCTGATGGGTTGGTATATGGTCAAGTCCGGACTCGAGGACCGGTTCCAGGATCCCAACGATGTGCCGCGAGTCTCCCAGTACAGATTGGCCTCCCATCTGGCAGCTGCATTCATCCTGTACTCACTCTCCTTATCGCGGGCCCTGTCCATGCTTATTCCGACGAACACGTTTGTGATCCAAGCCAAAAAAGCATTTAACATAAAGGGCCTGACACACCTCACAAAGGCAATGGTCCTGCTAACTGCCATTTCCGGAGCTTTTGTGGCCGGACTGGACGCAGGCCTGGTGTACAACTCTTTCCCGAAGATGGGTGACAGTTGGATTCCCGACGACATGTGGCAGTTTGAACCGATTCAAAAGAACATAACAGAGAATCCGACGACAGTGCAGTTTAATCACCGCATCCTGGGCATCAGCACAGTAACTCTGACCACAGCTCTGTGGCTGGTGACCAGGAGGATGAAATTGCCCAAGCGTGCAAACTGGGCTATCAACGCTGTGGTGGCCATGGCCTGGACACAGGCGACTCTGGGAGTAACCACCTTGCTCAACTACGTGCCTGTGCCTTTGGCGACTGCCCATCAATCCGGATCGCTGATACTCCTGAGTTTCGCTTTATGGCTATCACATGAGGTTCGACTGTTGAAGTATCTGCCAAAGTAAAGGGGCAAATAAATAATCGTTTGTTGAAACTAATTGCTTGTTTATTTAAAACTAAAATAAATGCTCCGTCCTCTTTTTTCAAAACACTGCTTATCAAAATTTAAATACCTCGCCTCGGTAAAAACGTAACGATGAGTGGTGCAAAAGTAATAGCAACAACCTTTTATTCATTCCTATTCAATATTCATTTTCACACTGTTTTTATCCTCCTGCAACTCCTTGTATTCAACATTCTTTGCGTTTAAGCAGGCACCTACTCCCTTAGCGTTCTCCGAAGACTTGGTGGTCTGGTTTGAGTGGGAAACGTGATTGTACACCGCCAGAGCCTGGGCCACGAAGCCATTGACATCTCCAGGATTCGATGGCAAGATCATGGTGTTATTCGTCTTGGCCAGCTTCTTAAAAGCTCCAATGTATTGCTCGGCCAGCGTGAGGGAAGCAGCATTCTGTCCATCCTGAAAAATACACAAGGAAAGATAATCATTTTTAAAATTTAGTAACCAATAATTTTTTTTAGTTGATAACAAATATAATTCTTAGGACAACTAAGGTATGTACGTCGCAATTTTGCGCTCATCGTATGGTGGAATACAAGCTGAGCACAGAGTTCGAATTGTTCGGCGCCTGCTGTTTGGTGAACACAGTCCAGAAGCGGAGCGTCTCGTCTGCGCCGCCAGTGACAATGGACTCGTTGTCCGGGCTCACAGACAGATGAAGGACGCGTTGGGTGTGCCCGGTCAGTCTGGCCACTTGCTTCAGCGAGGGATAACGCCACACAGTGACCTGTGGCTGCGCCAGTCCGTGTGTGGTTACTATTTCCAGAGAATCCCTTGCCCAGGCCAAGTTGCTGATCTGGGCGCCGGTGTCTATGCACTGCACCTGTTTGCCAGTAAGCACGTTCCAGAAGCGCAAGCATCGATCGGCAGACCCACCGCCACTGGCCAGGAGACCGGATTTATGCGGCGACCAGCCCAGCGCTTTCACCACAGCCGTGTGCTCGTTGAAGGCGTATACGGGCTCTGGCCAATCGTCCGCCCACACCAGCAGGCGGTTGTCGCTGCCCCCGCTGGCTAAGTAGCGATGGGTGGGCGACCACTGGAGACCGCACACCTCGAGTCTGTGTCCGCGCAGACAGCGGGTTATGTGCGTCGGTGGATTGCGAACATCACGCTGCAGAATGGTGCGGTCACGGGAGCCACTGGCCAATCTGTTGCCACGCCATGCCAGCGCAGTTACCCGCGCCGAATGCCCTTCCAGACGGTTGATCTCCTTCCGCCGCTCGATATCCCAGATGGTTACGTAGCCTAATTGGGTTCCAATAGCCACCTGACGGCCATCACCGTGCCAGCTAACTGCTGTGACCAGGTTGTCCTCTCGATTGAAGTCGCAAAGTCTTGTCACCTGTCCGCTGACGGCACTCCACAAGTAAACCGAACAGCCCAGGCCCACGGCCAAAGTGTTCTCCGATGACCAGTCAATGAGGTTCAGGTAGAAATCATCCTGCAAGTCCGGTGCATCGAGTATCTTGTACGGACGTCTCGGCAGTCGGCGCACGGGTCTCTTCGAGATGCTGAGCAGCCGTTGGCTGCTCTCACTTACGTTTGCAAATGGAGTACGTAGCGGTGGCGAACCATTACCATTGGCAAATCTGTAGAGTCGATTGTTCTCCCGCACCTTGAAGTCACCTGTCTGGGCATGAACCTGTTCGGCTTGCTTGCAATTTTCCAGGGAAGAGATCTGATCGTCCAGAAACTCGTTGCGCAGCAGACACGTGTATGCGGAATTCTCACACAATTCGCTGGAGTCTACTGAAGCGAGAGCAAAGTTTCGAGCCCACTGATTGCCAGCCCGTGTGGGAATGCAGCGCAGATCGAGCTGCTCCTTCTTGCCGCCTGTGACTCCCCGAAGTAAACGATGTTCGTACTCCGGTTGAAACATTTCCGAATTCGAAAGTTTTGTTTTGTTGGTTGTGTGAGGCTTGTTAAGGTGTGCACTGATCACAAAGGATTTAAACGGCAATGCCTAGCTTTCTACTTGCCCGGATTTAAGAATGAAAAGTTTCCCTGGGGAATACTCACCAAATGGGACAGAGATTTGGCGATGGCCAGCAGACTACGGGCTCTGGCATCCGCCACAGCTATAATGGCAGCCGCCTCGCCACTGGCCTTGTTAATATGCTCCTGGCGCTCGGCCTCTGTGGAAGAAGGAATCTTGAGTACCGACTACATTTCGGAAGGGTGCGATGCCGCTTACCGGAGGCTAGGATTCTGGACTTCCGCTTGCCCTCGGCTATATTGATTTCTGCCTCGCGAACACCTTCTGATTCCAGGATAGCCGCTCGTTTCCGCCGCTCAGCCTCCACTTGCATTTGCATTGCCTCGTGGACCCTAGTGGGCAGCTAAATTTGGCATTATTTATAGGGTTCTCCATTGAGGAATCAACTTAACACCGCAACTCACTCTAATATCACGGATCTCGTAACGCAAACAGGCGATGCCCCACGCCTCACTGGCCTTGTTGATCGAGTCCACGATGCTGACGTTCAGGGACTCCCTCTCGCGGAAGACCTTGTCCATGGACATCTTGCCCAGCTCCGATCTCATCGTCGTCTGGGCCAGTTGTGTTATGGCGAACTCCGGGTCCTCCACGCCGTACGAAGCTTTATGGTGATATAACAGATATAATTGACGGGCCGGTGCAGATATGTATTCGGGACCTACCTTTATATGGATCAATGATTCGCAAGTAGAGCACTCCGTCGATGCTCAAGGTCACGTTGTCGGAGGTAATAGCGCTCTGCTTCGGCACATCAATGGCGATTTCCTTCAGGCTCTGCACATATTTGATTTTGTCCGCCACCGGAACCAGAATGTTCAGGCCGGGGTCCAGAATCCTATGAAACCGGCCCATGCGCTCGACTACCCAGGCCTTGGAAACGGAGTTACGGATTGGAGTAAGCCGGATTCGGATAATCTGATCTAGCAATAAAACCTACCTCTTGCTGAGGCACAAACATAACACACATGTTTATCGGGGTTGAGGCCTTTCCCCTCCGAGACTGTGACGGAATCCATGAGCCGGCGAGCAAGAAATCTTGCTGCAAGTAGGAATATTTACGGGAAGTTATTATACATTGTGGTGTCTGACGATTTCGGCACAAACCTGGAACAAACTGGGAACAATTCTTTTGTTCAAAAGAAATCTCGACATTTCGCAATATGTGTGCCGATTTACCGTAAAATACTAAGAAAAAAACATTATGATAATCCACAAACAGGGTGTTTCACATCACATGGAAATCGATTAATTTTTCGTATGGGGTATCTCAAATTTGTAAATTTTTAAATACTTTTTAAATCGAACAAATTTATTTGATATATTTTTTGTGTTAAAAGAACTATTGCCGAAGAAAGTGACAGTAAGCGAAGAGCAAACATTTAGAATTTATTCGATTTCGTTCCCATTAATTTCTTCAATGTCTAAATTTGGTTCGGTTAAATCCTAATGAAATTGAGAAAGTTTGGAGTACTTTCAACTACAGTTTGTAAACAATCGAATTATCGAGGTATTTTATTTGACTTATAGCCTAGTACTCAGATCGGCTAAGAGTTTCACTATTCAAAAAATCTTGTTCTTTGTAGTGAGACCGAAGTTTTTACTTGCTTATATTTTTTATAAATTTTGGAATGTGACAATGTCAAAAAAAGTAGTATAAAAATGAGAAAAATATGGTTCGAATGCAAATTTGTAAACATTTTCAAATAAGCCATAAAAAATATAAGCAAAACGATTTTTGAAAAATTGTTTTTGCAGTTAGTTTTGTTTGCAGAAACTTTAAGAATAAATAAACTCGAGTTTTTAAGTTTACTGGAAAGCACTGGATGAAAACGTATTAAATTATATAAAATATATCACCGGTTTTGAGAGAAATAAAACAAATTCATATTTTACCATAGAAAAGCCGACATGGCTCACCACAAGACTATATCTCATAGGAGCTCCACGTACACGTAGACTCTGCGTACCCTAGTGAACCCAACTCGCCCTGTCACCTAACACTATGGACTTTATGGAGCCATTTCAGTGTCAATATTGACCGGGCCTGTTCAATACGCATACAACGTACCTTATCAATCATCTGGACACCGGGTTCCATAGAAACCACAGCTTTGTATGCCCGTGTAAGTTTGAGTTCAGCAGACGCAGACAATATACCAATAATGTTGTAGCGTTGCTAGAAATTATTAACATGAAAGGATGGTAAAGGAATCGTGAGCAAAATATTACATTACTTTATATATGTGCGTCAAATTAGCGTCGGCCTGTTAGCAACGAAAACGGGAACGGTGGAATATGGAACATGGGGCCCTTTTTATTTTTAAATTTTCTCGCTATTTGGGGACCAAATCGAAAAATTTAAAATGCTAGATTGTTAAGAAAGAAAAGATCTATCGAGCTAGGTAGGTTTGGGACACATACGAGGCCTATTAGTATTTCAAAAATGCATTTGAAAAATCGTGTCCCCACAATTTTGTTAACTGCTCCCCTCACAGAGGTTGTGCCAATATGCACGATAAACTAAGCTATAAGGGGTTAATTCAAGCTCCTTGTCTGAAAGTTTCATCAAAATCAAACCCACAGTTTTCGAGAAAAAAGCCTAACAGTACCGCAACCTCGGATTTTCCCCATACAAAAAAGAGGGGCAAAAATGAAATTACCTACTGCTCCACTCCTAGAGGTTGTGCCAACATGCACGGTATATGGGTAGATAGGGGATAATCTAGGGACTGTTCTGTGAAAGTTTTATCAAAATCAAACCCACAGATTTTGAGAAAATTGCTTAACAGTTGGGGGTGTTAAAAAGGATATTAAAAGGCCGTTTAATCCAGAAACGGAACCATTGGATACTAAGACATAAACCACAATGTAAACAGCTTAGCCATGACAATCATTCGACGCTAACTTTCTATAACTTTATACAGCTCTCACAGAGGTTGTGCCAACTTGCACGGTATCGCATTCGAAGGGGCATCATTATAGCTAATTTCTGAATAAATTACAGGCAATTCAAACCCACAGTTTTCGAGAAATTCAAGTCTTTTCAATTATGGCTTTTGCCACGCGGTCACACTGTCAAGGCCTGCGATAAATCGTATGACCCGTGACATCAACCATCAAAATATATATGCAGGCCTTGACAGTGTGACCGCGTGGCAAAAGCCATAATTGAAAAGACTTGAATTTCTCGAAAACTGTGGGTTTGAATTGCCTGAAATTTATTTAGAAATTAGCTTTAATGATGCCCCTTCGAATGCGATACCGTGCAAGTTGGCACAACCTCTGTGAGAGCTGTATGAATTAATTAAAGTTTGCATATAAATTTTGATGGTTGATGTCACGGGTCATACGATTTATTGCAGGCCTTGGCAGTGTGACCGCGTGGCAAAAGCCATAATTGAAAAGACTTGAATTTCTCGAAAACTGTGGGTTTGAATTGCCTGAAATTTATTTAGAAATTAGCTTTAATGATGCCCCTTCGAATGCGATACCGTGCAAGTTGGCACAACCTCTGTGAGAGCTGTATGAATTAATTAAAGTTTGCATATATATTTTGATGGTTGATGTCACGGGTCATACGATTTATTGCAGGCCTTGGCAGTGTGACCGCGTGGCAAAAGCCATAATTGAAAAGACTTGAATTTCTCGAAAACTGTGGGTTTGAATTGCCTGTAATTTATTCAGAAATTAGCTATAATGATGCCCCTTCGAATGCGATACCGTGCAAGTTGGCACAACCTCTGTGAGAGCTGTATGAATTAATTAAAGTTTGCATATATATTTTGATGGTTGATGTCACGGGTCATACGATTTATCGCAGGCCTTGGCAGTGTGACCGCGTGGCAAAAGCCATAATTGAAAAGACTTGAATTTCTCGAAAACTGTGGGTTTGAATTGCCTGAAATTTATTTTGAAATTAGCTTTAATGATGCCCCTTCGAATGCGATACCGTGCAAGTTGGCACAACCTCTGTGAGAGCTGTATGAATTAATTAAAGTTTGCATATATATTTTGATGGTTGATGTCACGGGTCATACGATTTATCGCAGGCCTTGGCAGTGTGACCGCGTGGCAAAAGCCATAATTGAAAAGACTTGAATTTCTCGAAAACTGTGGGTTTGAATTGCCTGTAATTTATTCAGAAATTAGCTATAATGATGCCCCTTCGAATGCGATACCGTGCAAGTTGGCACAACCTCTGTGAGAGCTGTATGAATTAATTAAAGTTTGCATATATATTTTGATGGTTGATGTCACGGGTCATACGATTTATCGCAGGCCTTGGCAGTGTGACCGCGTGGCAAAAGCCATAATTGAAAAGACTTGAATTTCTCGAAAACTGTGGGTTTGAATTGCCTGAAATTTATTTAGAAATTAGCTTTAATGATGCCCCTTCGAATGCGATACCGTGCAAGTTGGCACAACCTCTGTGAGAGCTGTATGAATTAATTAAAGTTTGCATATATATTTTGATGGTTGATGTCACGGGTCATACGATTTATCGCAGGCCTTGGCAGTGTGACCGCGTGGCAAAAGCCATAATTGAAAAGACTTGAATTTCTCGAAAACTGTGGGTTTGAATTGCCTGTAATTTATTCAGAAATTAGCTATAATGATGCCCCTTCGAATGCGATACCGTGCAAGTTGGCACAACCTCTGTGAGAGCTGTATAAAGTTATAGAAAGTTAGCGTCGAATGATTGTCATGGCTAGCTAAGCTGTTTACATTGTGGTTTATGTCTTAGTATCCAATGGTTCCGTTTCTGGATTAAACGGCCTTTTAATAACCTTTTTAACACCCCCAACTGTTAAGCAATTTTCTCAAAATCTGTGGGTTTGATTTTGATAAAACTTTCACAGAACAGTCCCTAGATTATCCCCTATCTACCCATATACCGTGCATGTTGGCACAACCTCTAGGAGTGGAGCAGTAGGTAATTTCATTTTTGCCCCTCTTTTTTGTATGGGGAAAATCCGAGGTTGCGGTACTGTTAGGCTTTTTTCTCGAAAACTGTGGGTTTGATTTTGATGAAACTTTCAGACAAGGAGCTTGAATTAACCCTTAATAGCTTGGTTTATCGTGCATATTGGCACAACCTCTGTGAGGGGAGCAGTTAACAAAATTGTGGGGACACGATTTTTCAAATGCATTTTTGAAACACTAATAGGCCTCGTATGTGTCCCAAACCTACCTAGCTCGATAGATCTTTTCTTTCTTAACAATCTAGCATTTTAGATTTTTCGATTTGGTCCCCAAATAGCGAGAAAATTTAAAAATAAAAAGAGCCCCATGTTCCATATTCCACCGTTCCCGTTTTCGTTGCTAACAGGCCGACGCTAATTTGACGCACATAGTTTTTCAATTCAGGATTTCACAAAAAGCCCTTAATGAGCTTGAGCGATGTGGCAACGCCTTTGTGCAATGGTCACACTAATCTTTCCCGCCCATTGTTTTGGTCAATTGGTTTTTGTTTACATCCTGCGAAAATGGAGTCCATGGAGGTGGATGAAAATACTCCCCAACTGTAAGTTCCGCCAAAAGGAATTTTAAATCAATAATAACTCCCAACCCTTCATAAGCTACATTCGCACGCCGGAGGATGTGAAAGTCATTGTGAAACACGCCAAACTGGACGAGCGCCAGCTGACCCAACTCACCCAGGCGCTTTACTTCCCCTCGGCGGACGTGGACTCCGACAATCTGCGCCTTCTGGAGCTGGACGGGCACATGCTGGAGCAAATCCGCGACGGCCAGACGCTCCATTTCAAGGGCGGCCAGAACGAGAAGGTGGTGCTTTGCACCGACGAGCGAACCTACGACGTGAAGGGCGCCGAGATCTCCAACAGCCTGCTGTTGGTCCCAGACCTCAAGTTCGCCGCCGCCACCAGTACCTCTCCGCTGAAAAGTCCTCGCACGGGCAACGCAAACGCCTCCCTGGAGCGAAGTCTGAACGACAGCACGGAGGATGAACTGGAGGTGCCACGAACCCTGGAGCAGCGACCGGTGCTCAAGGTGTTCCACGAGTACTTCGAGTGTCGCGAGATCAAGCCCCGCTTTCGCAAACTGGGCGAACTGCTGCAACTCACCAGGTATTCTGGTCCCGAGAACGAGTTTTGTGTCGAGCAGAAGCTGCTCTTCACCTTCTCCCAATTGCTGGACACGGTGCAGTGCAGCCGGGCGCAGTTCCTGGAGGGATTGAACCACTATCGAGCCATGGAACTGGACGGCCGAATGCGCGT